TTCTTCCCATGATCCCCAAATTATATTGTATCATTATTATTATTATTTTTATTATTATTATTAGGTCAATAAATCTTATTATTTATAATCATTATTGTGTCTATTCCATAAATTATGATGCCTTGTCCCAACTACTCATGGGAGATAATTCAAAAATTGATCGAATCTTATTATAAGGCGTATTTGATAAATCGATTGACCATCTGTTGGAGGATCGACTTAGTTCACTCAGTTGACGAGAGACCAGTACGATACATAACCATATAGGCTTAAGTGCTAAAGGTGCAAAGAATTTAAGTGATTGAACTACTTAATCATTACATTCAATATAGAGTCCTATAAGCTTGAACATAGAAGTGTGAAGAGCCTATATGTTTCAACGCACTCAATTAATGGGAGACTAACACAGTACATAGCCTCCCAACTCGAGTGCCAAAGGTGCGAAAAATCTAAGTGATTAAGTTCATAGGAGACTGGTAGGTACACAACACAACCCTTCAAGCTTGAGAACTATGGTCATGAAAAATCTTAATGGCCAATGGAATAGTGTTATATTATATTATCTTTTGGCTTTTTAATAGTTTCATCTTGTTGTTTGCCCTTGTATTTTGTATGGGTGGGTATACGAATCGGTCTCACCCGTTTAAAGTCTGACCCATAAAACTTGCATTTTATATGGGTCAAACAAGTCCAATCCGTAAAATAAATAGACTTATTTTTCAAGCTATTAGTTTGCCAAAACTAGTAGATTAATAGATCAGTCCGCAGGTCTAAATAATTATTAAAAAAATATATTTTCAAAATAAAAATACATAAAATTAGAAGAGAAAAAATCTTTTATTTATATCTAAATTTTATCACACTAAAATTTATTAATATTTAAAATGGTCTTAAATACTAAATATTAAAGTATTAAAACCAAAAATATTACCAATATGTATATAATAGTAAACAACTTTTAATAATAAAAACTTCAAAATGTCATTAAAATAATCCAAATGGTAAATACATACCAACTAAACATAGTTTTAATATCATAATAATTTAAAAGATTAAATAAATAACTAAATATTAAAGTCTTAATATCTAAAAATAATAATTAGTGAAGTCTGCAAGCTAGCTCACGAGTCTACGAATTAAGTTTGTCAAGCAAATTTTAGAGATCGAACTCAAAAACTAAACATAGTTATACAAATTTAAAAATAATGGTTCATTATCTGCAAAGTTTGTGGGCTTATGGACTGGTCCGCGGACCTAAGTCCATCTACCCACACCTAGTATTTTGTTACTTACATATTTTGGTTGATTGAAATGTTTATTGGTGGCTAGAATCTAAGACGTTTTCACTTAAAATTGATATTCAATCGATTTATGTATTTGTATTTGAGAAAGAGTTTGATCGATTATCATGAGAGTCAAGATTTCTTCGAGTGTTTTTATTTGGCAGTAGTGATGATGTGTTTCAAAAATGTCGACTTTCATTAAGAGTCGATATTTTACCGAGTGTTTCGTTTGTGCACGAGTAGGCATGGCAACGGGGCGGGGCGGGGGCGGGTTTTACGTTCCCCGCCCCCGCTCCCGCAAATTTAAACCGCTCCCGCCCCCGCCCCCGATACCTGCCGGGG